ATTTAAGACTTGGTCATTATTTTAATGCTGGCTTTAATTTACAAGTTCGCTCTATTAGAAATTACATCTGCAAATGAATCTGTATTTTGGATAGTTTTTCTAATTTAGTCTGTCATTTGAGGTCCCAGCAGAACATTTCATTACAACGAGACAAGCGCTGTTATACACATTACCTGCCAGAGGTTTCAGAGTTGTAGCTGTCTGTTTAGTTACTTGCCACAGTCAGGTGTTAAACTAATGTTTGCAGCCTGCTCACTTTCTAAATGTTTTCTTCCAGGTATCCTCTTGTGTAGGAGGTTCTGGCCAGCAGCAGTCATAGAGTAAGTCTGTTTTATTCAGGTCTCCTACTGTGCTCATAATAGCCCAGAAATTGTAATTTGTTTTTGTCAGTTGATCTGCTTGTAGGTAAGTCCATCACTGTAGTCCAGACTGAAATGTCTCATCAATTGTTGGACATATTGCCATGAAACTTTTAGTTGCTGTCGGATGAACTGCAATACATTTTCAGGCTATTCTAACATGTAAACATTTTGGTTTACATCAGCATGATTGTTGCTATGCTATGTTGAGCGCTGTTGTGTGTCCTCACATAATTGCTAGTACGGCTGTTGAGTCTTAAACTTAACACAGCATTTAAATTATTTTGGTATGTATACTTTTTATTCCAACTGTGTGTCGCACTGAAGGTTTTTCCAAAAACGCTCTGAACTCTTCTAACCATCACGATCAAAAACCATCTAACAAACAAGCGTAACAAGCCTGATCCACTGGACCCCTTAGATCTACTGCCAATGTGCTAAAGCCAGACACCACAGGACATCCCCGGAGATCCCATGTCCATGCTACAAGTGTGACCTACACAATATTAGTCAGGTGGTTTTAATATTGTGGTTTAGTAGTGTGTACACTACAGTTTTTAGTTTGTTTTTCAGATAGTGTATCTTTAGGGGAACTGCCTTTCACAAGGTGATGTTCACTAATTTGAGAAACCAGGTGATCCACTGAAATTGTTCAAATTTTGACCACATTAGCATAGAAATCAAGACCTGTGATGAAGTACAGGAGTTCTTTCCAAAAAAATGCTAATGGACTTGCTTAGTTTAAAGCTTCTCTGGTTATTGTTGGCGTGTAACGGGACACTGTGCCGCATCATTGATTGCTTTTCTGTTTCTTCTTGCTTTCTGGAATGGATCGCTCAGTTTGCAGACAATGAAGCAGCTGAAAATGAAGGCGAGTGATGCCAAGCTGAAGATCCTGGAGCATCTCTGGATGGAAAAGGCCGCATTCAACTTGTGATGTCAGGAGGATCAACACCTGTGAACTGCTGACAGGATCAGTACCATCAGTGAGCATCCGATTTGGCTGCTTCTATATCTGTTGCAGAAGCTCTGAGGGCACGGACCGATTAGATGCATCCAGACCACCAAATGTTTCTGTGCACAACAACTGATGTGAATTGAACATTATCTCAGTCCTCTTCCAGATCATAGATCTGTTTTAGTTTTGTCTTCTGTGCCTCCTGCCTGTGTTTCCTAAGTACTGCCCATTACTGATCGCCTCCCACTGCAGGTATACTCTATAAAGTGTGGCTTTATGGTCTGTTGAATCTGCATGTCAGATGGCCAGATAGCTTTAAAAAGCCCCACCATCCACACATTTAGATGTCAGCTAGTGGGTAACTGTATTGCTTATTATCAGTGACTTTAAAGTATCAAACCATTTCATACTGCAGCCATTCTAAATGGTGTTTTATTATATGACTATTTTCTCCCTGCAGATGACACACATTTAGCAACTCTAGAATGAAGTCAAACAGACTGAGTTATGATACATGCCTGTCTCTCTCCAAAGGACCTCAGTCTCCTCAGCAGGTGGAGACGACTTTGGCCCTTCTTGTACAGGACCTCTGTATTATGTGACCCGTTCAGTTTGTTGTTGAGGTGAACACCCAGGTATTTGTATTTGTCCACCATCTCTATGTCCAGACCCTGGATGTTCACCAGTGCAGTCTGAGGTGTCTTCCTCCTCCTGAAGTCGATGACCATCTCCTTCGTCTTTCTGGCGCTGAACTGAAGGTGGTTTAGCTCACACCAGTCAAAATGACAGTCCTGTATTCAAGTTATTATGACATTTTGTTATTACAAGATACCAAGTTATGCCAGTTTGAAAAGAAACTTTATCTATTATTACAACCTGAAATCACAGAGATGGTCATCAGAACAAGAAACTGATGAAGATGGGTTTTTTTTTTTCTTTTCTTTTTTTTCATGAAGGCGGCACATCACTGCTGTAATTACTGACAGGACCAGGCAATTACCAACAGCTTCTAAAGCTGTGCATAAATGTGTACAATACTCTCACTTTAGAGACGCTCATATGGACCCTGATGGCTGCTGTGTGATGCTGCAGGAATTTAATAAACTCAGAATAAAGACCAAACTGTGATTCTCTGTGTTACTGCTCACCTGGCTGATTGGAAGAAAAGTACACATTGTAGCCTCACTCAGCGGATGTAGGATGCGTGCTTAAGCCACCAATTATTTAAATTGGCTTTATCTTTATTTCCGCTATTTGTGAGTTGTTTTTTTTTTGTTTTTTTCACGATGGAAAGTGGCAACCAGCGATGTACCGCATTGTAACTTTCAGTTTTATAGAGAATATGGATAGTGCAGAAAAGCAGCCCTGCTAGTTTTTGTCATGGGTTATCCAGCGTGTTTCTTCCTGTATGCAAATGTTTCCCATCACTGTTTTGAGGGAACACCAAAGGGGCATTCTTCACTTACCTCTGCCTGTGACAACTGTGATTGGTTTAAAAGCATTCAGACAACCCAGGGTGTTTTCCCCCTGGCAATCTAAGCAAGACTATGCACAGTGTGACTTGCCGTAGGATCCTGGCCCTGACAGATCCGGTCTCAATGTATGGATAATTTATGGTTTTAAGTATTTGATAAAGTTTGCAAAAATGCGTGCAACTTGCTTTTGGAGGTGTTCATGTGGATCCTGCTGCTGTTTTACACTGTAGGAGTGGAATGAAGTCAGAGAATAAACTTCTACAAGCAGCTAGAACATACTAAACAGATAATACAAACAAATCAAATGCGTGCCGCTAAGGTAGAAAAGTGCTATATAAGTGCAGTCCATTTTCCATTTAACATACTGCAGTGCAATGTTCTGCTGGGAAACCTTGGGTTGCCCATATCACCAGCCTTCCCTGATGCACTCTGCCACACGACAGAAACTGCACAGCTTGAGGAACACAATATGTGCTGTGTCCATGGCTCAACAGTTCAGAGTTGTTTTGGAAGCACAAGACCTGCACAGTATTAGGCGGGTGGTTTTCATGTTGTGATTGATTGATGTCTATAAAAAGGTGTTAAAAAGAAAAACAAGATATATTGAGTCTTAAACTCAGAAATGTTTTGAGAGTAATCAGTTACATTTCTTAATGTATATATATATATTTTTTTTTTTTTTTTAAACTGTCCACTACCATTTAAAGTTGCCTGTCTGTTTCTTTTATAGACAGAGAAAAGCATTAAATTTAAGAGCTGTTTCAATAAGAATGTCAGAAAATAGACCAGTTTCACTTTCCAAAGTTTCATAATGATAACTCAAACATCAGTGCTCATGATGGTGGACTGATAGATGTAATTAGTTACAGCATTACAAACGTCCACAGCCATGGGCAATGGTCATGTGCAATGATAACTACTCTGGTACTGTGGAACCTTACGCAAAACCGTCTGGGCTCTCTTGTTCTATGGCAGACACTTGACATGAATGGTGCTTCGGCACTTTTGATGTAGCGTAGCGACACATGTAGTGATGTAGCTGCATTTGAGCAGAAGATGGTGCTGCTGCATCATCAAAAGGTAACTTTCCACCTTCGTGATCGTCACTGTTTTGGTTGTTTTGGAGATCCACCTTGTAATTGTGCTATTTTAACTTTTGTCATTCAAACGGCAGAAAAATATAGATGCTTTCATGACTATTTTTTCTACAAATGTACATAAGTAATTTACTACGGAACAACTCTTGAATCTTGTTTCTCACTATGATAATAAAACCTGTGGTGAGTGGCAACTTGAAGATATTATCAAAGAGGTCCTTAAGGCAATCTTAGTTGACAGGGGACCACCACCCTCTAATGCTGCAATGGAATCTAAGTTTAGGGTTGGCATTAAAGTAAGAACATTTGTTACTTGAAGAAACAAGGATGTTGTTGGAGCATAACCATACAGTTATAGTTAATTTGCAGGTCATGCTCCTTCTCACTCTTGTCAGTCAGGTTTTGATGTTGGCAAGCCCATTAGGATGTCCTCCTTTTGTTGAGTAACATGTGGGAATGCATTTTTCACACTTTTGGTGTGTTGTTGTCACCTTGGACTGACCTAGTGTTGTATGTGTTGATCTCTGGTTTGGTTGGAAAGGCTCAGGGAGCTAATTTCTTCCTAACTTTAGAGCGAAGTGCAGACTAGAGACAGTTAAGCATATCAACTTGCAGTGTTATGAGCTAGTCTCAGAGGCACACAGGCAGCTTTTAGAGAAGGTCCAAGTTCAGCAAGCAAACTTATATGGAATTTGCCAAAGAATAAAACACTATTTGCTAGGTAGTACATCTCTCAGAAGGCAGAATCCAAGAAACAGCTGAGACATCCAACTCTCCTTGGGGAGTCCAAGTGCTGTGTATGTGGTGGCCATCTATCTGAATGAGCAGAAAGTTGTAAAGTTGGATAAGGTTTGAAAAAAGTGTTCTATGGAGCCCAAAGGTGGGGAGTCTCCTTTGCTGTTGCACTCAAAAGGCCCTGTGACCCAAGTCCATTTCCCCTGTCTGTTAAATGGGGCAAATTTCCACATAATGTCTAGCAAGAAAGAAGCTTTGTCTCTATTGATAAAGCCAACTCATGTTATTGCTGGATGACCAACTCCTAGCAAGAACCAAAAACCATGCTAACCATGCATTGCTCATGATGGTTGAACCTCCTGCATCGGTGCTTGGAGGCCATGCAAGAATTTCAAAGGACACTAACCTGACTGAGTTTTCAGCCTCTGTCACTGATGGGAGTATTTCCTTGCCTTGTGACCCTCTAACTCAACCTCCCATTAAGATCTTAAGAAATACTGTGCCAAAGCAATCTATTATTCTAGAAAGTCTGCTACTGTTTTAAGTGTAAATGGTCTAAGGGAATCTTGCTGTTGGGTTGTGCTCTCTTTTCCAATTAAAGGCATTTATTTGATTCTAGGGAAGGATTTGGCTGATGGCAGAGTATTGGCTACTCCAGAGGCAGTGCCTTTATTGTCTGATGCACCAGATGAGCTTGCACAGAAACAGCCTGAGGTGCTTCCTGTTTGTGCTGTTGAGGTGGCCATGTCAAAGAGTTGACAAAGTGACAAAGCAAAAGCCTTGTAGTTAAAAGTGCAGCCGAAGAGACTGCACTGAATGATACGTTCCTGGTTGACACACAAGATATGTCCCTTTTGAATGGTTTGGGGAAGTTTTACTATATTGAACCAGGTAAAAATGTGTCCCTTCATGTTGTTTTTTAGGAGACTGTCAGAAGAGGAAGTAGCAGATGGGTTTTTAGTGGCATCAGTGGGGTGTTGATGACAAAAATGGATGTCTGATCAGATGTCTGACCAAGACGATAAAGTAAAGAGTTTTAGATTGTGATTCCAGCTGAGTACTGTCATGATATTTTTTTTCAACCAGGTCATGATCATTGTTTTGCTGGGAATTTGGGGATCAAGATGTATAAGTCAGATGTGGGATTATATTGTTGATCGTGATCATACAGGCTCAATACAATGGCCTATACCTTGCAGAGAACCAAATCGATGAGTTTGATTAATCATTTATTTGTTTTAATTATTTAATTAATTAAAGTTTTTACTTTTTAACTCCAGTGTTTCCTTATGGGGGTCCTCCACACTAGGGGCTGTGTCTGGTCTGCTGCTGTGGGTGATGTGTGCGGGTCCCCGGCTGGATGGGGGCTCCCCGCCTCAGTGTGGGGGTCCCCTTGTCTGTAGGAGTCGGGGGGGTCCTGGTCCTGCCACCCTTAGCAGTCATGGTCTGCGACTCCTCCAATGGTGCAGTTTTCCATGATCCTCAGTGTCATGCCATGTCTCCCTACGGCCAGTGGTGAGAGTGTGTGTGTGAGTGTGTGTGTGTGGGTATGTATGTGTATGTGTGTATGTGTATACATGGAGTGTGGAAGGGACGCATGTTCTTGTTTTGGGTTTTTTTTGCAATGCTTTTTAATGCTGTAAAGCACTGTGTTGCTTTTTTGTATGAGAAGTATTATACAAATAAAGTTTCATTTCATTTGATACCTGCTCAATCAGCTATAAAAGTTCAACAAAAATAATCTTTTGTTTTTATGTTTGAGATCAGTCTAAATCTCCTGCCAGAGGGTAGGAGCTCAAACTCAGCATGCAGGGGATGATCAGGGCACTGAATGATATCCCGAGCCTTAGAGTGTACCCTCCTGCAAAAGACTGTAGGTCGTATAACACCAATGATTTTACTGGCAACTTTAACAATGTGTCCTAACCTTCTTTTTTAAAAATCTCCTAATGAGAGGCTGCCACACCAGGAGATGATGGCAAAGGTCAGGACTGATGCAACCATGGAGTGATAAAACACTGACATTAGTTTGCTTCACACCCCAAACTGATTTAGCTTACGGAGGAAGTGCAGATGCTGCTGTGATTTTTTTGTAAACAATGTCTGTGTTTTCATTAAAAGACAGCTTATTGTCAACAACAATCCCAAGACACTTATATACATAAAGAGCATAAGAGAATTACCAAAATTCGGTTTTGTCTTTTGGTGTTCCACCCCATGTTTTTCAGGAGCTTCATCTTGCCACCCCTACAATACATTTCTGGATGCACCCCTGTCTATATGGTGCTGTGGTCCCTCAACTGGTTGATCATTTGTTACTGTAAGATCTCAGGGGTGGAATTTATTTTCACTGGCAACCTCCAGAGGCAGCACCAACCCGATGGGATTAGTGATCATGACTAGCTTGGCAATATTTGGGACCACATCCAGTGTGGAAGACATGGTTGTGCCAAGGCGAGAAGTGTGAACATTTCAGTCCTGACTGCTGTGGGTGGGAGGTAATCCACGTGGGTTCTTATTTGACTGTTCCTCTTGGTGGCACATTATTTTGCAGGGCTCTGCTCTTTCTACTAGCAGTGTGACCAGTTTCATCTTGTGCAGGGAGACATGAGTAGTGAGACTGAAACTCCTTCAAGTTACTGTAACTTGATTAGCTCAGTCTCAGGATGGCTCTATCTAGTGTCTGGTCACTTCCTGTCTGCCTCTCTTACAAAACATCACGGTCTGCGATGCCCACCGAGCTACCTGTCTGACACATATGGGCTCCTGCTTTGTAGTTTTCTGCCAGCTCAAATAATCCTCTCACAAAAAGCCT